ACCTGACAACAACAACAACACCTCTACAAGAAAAAGACAAACAACTGAATTAAAAAATGGGCTCAGGACATGAACAGACACTTCATCCAGAAGGAGATCCTGGCAGCCAACAAACATATGAAGAAATGTTCACAATCACTTTCCATTAGAGAGATGCAAATCAAAACAATAATGAGATATCATCTCACACCAGCAATAACAGCAAAGATCAAAAAAGTGGAGGACAATAAATGCTGGCGGGGATATGGAGAGACTGGGACACTCCTGCATTGCTGGTGGGACTTCAAAATAATCCAACGTCTCTGGAAAGTAATATGGCAGTTTCTCAGAAGTTTGGGAATAGAAATACCTTATGATCCAGCAATTCCTCGACTTGGTATTTACGCACAAGAAATATGAGCCATAACATGAGTAGATACATGCACACCAATGTTCATAGCAGCGCTATTTACAATAGCAAAAAGATGGAAACAGCCAAAGTGCCCATCAACTGAAGAATGGATAAACAAGCTGTGATACATACACACAATGGAATACTATGCTACCTTGAAGAATAACAAGGATGCTGCAACCCACCACATAACATAGATGAACCTTGAGGACATTGTGCTGAGTGAAATTAGTCAGTCACAAAAGGTGAAATGTTGCATAGGACCACTACTCTAAAAGACTAGGAAAAAGAACCCATACTAAAGTGGGGTAGATTCTTCGCTGGTTGCTGGGATGTGGGGTCTTGGAGGGGGAGATGGAGCACAGTGCAGGGAATAGACACAGGATAGTTTGGGTGCTGGGGAGGGGGACAATATACAAGAATGGGGAAGGTAATGGAAGAACAAAGTGGATGAGAGAACAATTAGGCAGGCTTGCATGGGCTATGTGGGTCAGAGGTAAAGAATGATGTATGTACAACCTTGGAACAACAGAGCTCTGGGATACAGGGATTGAGATACGGTTGGAATGGGCAAAAGTGAGGAAATAATGTTAAGATGCTTGGCTGTCTTTTGAATCTTGGTTTTCCTTGCATACCATTATAAAATAGAAACTGGAGGGGAAGAGAAAGAAATAGAAATATCACCACAGAAAGCTTGTAAGTCTGTCTTCTGCCTATAACTGATTGTAATACCTAAAATGGGGTTACAACTTGCCCAGTGAAGGAGGCTTCCAGTGGAGACTGCACTTCATAAGACTATAGGTGGAATCCTAAAGAGCATCCAGAATCTTCAGAGGTGGGAAATTTCCACTTGAACTGACGCACAGACCAGCCTGGAGCAGCTAGAAGAACAGTAGATACTTCTTAAAAGAAAGACCGATAGGAAAAATACAAAACAATATAGGCAGACGGACTGATTACTATAAGAACAAGCAAGTTGCTCGCCCAGGAGACATCAAGGTAAGTGGTCGTTTCCCCTCAGAGCAAACCTCCTTCCAAGACTAAGACTCAATGGGAATACACACACTGATTGGTGATCACGTTTGTCACCGATCAGGGGAAGTGAGGGAAAAACTGTAATGAAGCTGTGAGCTAAGCCCTACAATGCTCAATAGACTCTGGTGAACCAGTGAAGACCTGGTTGGCCAGCAGTGTGGCAAGACCTGGGGACTCTTGGGCCCAGAGTCAGTGACATCGCCACAGAGGACTAGAGTGGAGAGTGAAGCATC